CAGTTACTTAAGTCGAATGGCATTCAGAATTATGCGTTCGTGCGCATTCCACAACAACAACAATAACAAAAACTGCTGAAAACAATCAGAAGCAGCAGCAGTTCATCAGCAGCTCGAGCTCTGTTGAAATTATTAGAAGCGAAAGTATTTTCAATTTGAAATAAACTACAACAACACTTTAATTGGCAACTAATGCTGTAATCGATTGTTTGATTAAATTCCTGTCGAATTTGTGAGCCGACCTGCACCGGGCCTTAACAACATGCTATTTGGTAATACAACAACAACAGTGGGACTACCATTGGCAGCGAACAATAACAAAAACCACACGGCAGCTAGAAAATGAGAATATAAAGATAAGTTTATTTAACCTGCATACCGTTAGCATCTACAAATGCACGCATCGGTATGTTTATTGCATAATACGTACATACACATACATATACGTGTATGTATGAGAATGTGCATATTTTATATTTGCATGTTTGTGCATCTGGCTATTCTGCTGTTGTGAAATAGCTGGAGCGAAAATTGAAATTGGATTTCATAAATTCAATTTTTCATTATTAAATATTTATGCAAGTAAGTGCTCATACGTATATCCATACATAAATACATATAGTCGTCGCAAACAACAACTGCCAATAGTTGGAGATGGACATTCGAAATCACTCATTGTGCATGAGCCACATTTCTTGATTACTCATACGCCACGGCGTACAAATATCTTTCTGCTCGACGAAGCAAACCGACGACGGCGCCGACGACGACAGCGCAGCGCCGAGGAGCAATGCGAAGACGAAGATGAAGATGAGGCAAATGTCTTCTACCAAATAATGTGTCGCTGACATAACTTCGTAAATACTTGTCTTTGTATGCGTGTAAGTGTGTGCTCATGCACGTGTATGTGAATGATAAACCAGAGATTTGTGTGTGTGCGCACGTTTGTATTTGTACAAACTGCAGGACATTAAGCAATTAATTTTGCTGCTATTCATTTGTTATATTTGCCTCTCCCCACCAGAGGAGTCTCTTTGTTTGTATGTGTTTATGCATATATGTATGCATATATGTATGTATGAATGGCAAGTGATTTTGAGTGACACTTGCCAATTCATGCTTCCTTTCAGTGGCATTGACTTGCAAACTAACGCTTACATTTTCAAATAACACACACACATGCATACAACTGGAATGTTGTGCTTGAACAAAACTATATTTTTAATATGATAAAACGCATACCAGCAGAAACGTAAAATTTCACAGAGAAAAAGAGTTCAATAAAATATTACTTTGAAACTGCCGTGTGTGTTTCTCGGGTGTTTTCGAAAAATTGTTTACAACAACAAATATACTACCGCATTCTGTGGCACCCAATTGTATTTTATTTTAAGCTTTCAGACTAAAAACACATATTTTTCCTATTGGGTTTTTTGTGAAATCTAGAAAAACAAATTTCCAATATATGTGTGAACTATTTGCCTTGGACTACCAATTTTCATGACTTGTGTTGGTAGGTGATACTCGTACATATGTTTCATACTCGTATGTATATTTATATGCATTTATATTTGTAGTTTTGTTTATTTTAGCTTGATTGTTTTTGAATATTTCATTATTTTTGCATTTCCTTTCAAGCGACAGGACAAAGCAACTGTGTTTCGAACGATTTACCAATATTTACTCAAGCCATTCTCCAAAAACAAAAAAAAACAAAAAAAAGCTGGAAAACACTAAAAATTACTCCAAGTTTGCTCTAATATATTTTTAATAGTACATGAAGATTTTGGCTGTTGTCGAGTTCAAAAACAATTTGTGTACGTTTTCTGTTTTTTTACACTTGCTGAGAGTTCAATTGCAAATGAAAATGAAAATATTTGAAAATTTTCATGCACAGGAAAATTCTTATTGTTTATGCAGGTCAATCTCTTTGCCACAGCTGTTAGGATTTACAACAGAAAACTTTGATGAAAATAATTTTATCAATTGGGAGACTTGAAAAGCCAATTACAATTAGGCAAACTATTTAACCTCACTTTCGAAATCAAAGCAATCTCACATTAGAAATTCAGAATTCAAAAAAAAAAAAATGGAATTTTTAACTAATGTGATTTTCAAGAAGAAATTAACAACTTAATGTTATAGCTAAAATAGATTTGGTGTTGCTATAAAGAAAAGCGTATGCCATAATGTTCACAAAAAAGTTTCGGACAAGTGACCGCCCTGGCTGGCTCCAATTATTTCCACCCGAGAAGCCTTCTTTTCGAACACTTTGTGCAGCAGTTAGAGCCAGCAATAACGATCAAAAGTTTCCTTCAATAAATCGCCATTTTCTTGCAATCAAAGGTCAGCCACATGAACATCCCAAGATTTATACTCGAAAATGACATTAAGCATTACTTTATAACGTTTTCCAACAGCTGTACATTATTAGTAGCCTTAGGGCACACTCAGCAGTGGCTTTCTTACGATGTAACGACGCCTCAACAATGGCTTGTGGCTTATGTGGCTTTCAATCAAAAGTAAGCTTCGCCGCTGAACAAAATTTTCGTGCGAAAATCAGGATCAGTGGCCTTCTCGTTTTGGGCCCATCGATCGCGCGTACCAAATAATTGTTTTGGTAATAAATTTGAACGAACTGGAATAGCAGAGTAAGCCGGTTCTTTGTGAGACGACAAACCCAGCTGAGTTTTAATCAACTGACAGCTGTCAAATTGAAAAACTCCGATAAAGTATTGTTTCATTGAAACCCAGCTGACTACTAAAGATAAAATTTCCTTTATATATTCCATGGGCATACCAGAATTATATGTATACAATACATACATACATATATTCAATCTGAAAAATATATTATAAAGTTTTCCGATTCCAGTCAAGTTCAGTGCCAATGATTAATCCACTATTCCACATTTCTTGTTCTGAAGTCCTTAATTTAAGAATTGATGACCCAAGATCTCACATTTAAACATATCGGTTCAGAAGGGAGCTATATGATACCGTCGGTCGATCTGGCTGCTCCTGATAAATGATCACCCGCGTACAGAAAGTCACTTAGACAGACAATGCGTCAGACAAATGGACAGACAGACATGTCCAAACCAACTTGGCTCGTAACTCTGAGCTTATCGGTACACATTTAGTTGGGCTTATCTCTTTCCTTTTGGTTTCATGTTTAATGTGGAAATTTTTTAAACTTTTTTCGTTCAAATATTTATGTTGTCAAAAATCAGCTGATTTACAAATTTACTTAGTTTCTTTCACTATAATATTGTATATAATGGAGAATTGATGGCTATTTTATATTTTTGCTAAGGGAAATATATGAGAATTTACTTTATTTACGCTTGGAAGAGCTGATTTAAGTTGCTCCTTTCTTTCTCTTCGCAGCATTGCCATCTTTTATATAATCTGAGAAAAAACTTTTACCAGCAGGTCGAGAAAACCAAAGCGGATTCAGAACAACGTTAAATTTAATTGCCCGTTTCGTGACCACTACGTTAACAGGCACTCGACAAAACGGACCGTTAGGCTTTAGGATATTTGCAAAAGATAATTTATTTAAAATTAAATTATTGCGCTAATTAATGCCTTTAATTAATTTCAGCCTCTTATTTTGAATAGTTAGCCATGTGCCCTTCGATTTCACAACCTGGACCATGTTGGGCCCAACGATAGTGCATATGACAATTGCTTGCAACATCTGTCTAGCTTTGGCAGTTTTTACATTGAGTTGGTCACAGGGGCTTCAACTTCTCAGATTCCACTCCACATTCAAGAATATAATTCATATTATAAATCTCTGATAAGCTGGAATTGTGAGCCATTTGTATCAGCCAGTTATAATGTCTAAATTTTGAAAGTTTAATAAATTTAATATCTAAATGAAGAAAAATAGTTAATTATTTCCTCATACAACATTTTTTATAACAATAGAATGTGGGGTTTCTCCACTAGGCGTGAGTGTGTAGAATTCAAACCTCTCTTTTATCAAAAGCTCTTTATTTTCGTATAACCTTCTGTGATACAAGTGTCAATGTATGTGACATGTTTGATGATATTTTGCTGAATGCAAAGTTTTTGTGATTTAGTAGTAACTTTAACTTTTTGATTTAGGATTTGTAACAGGTAAGTGTAGATGGGTTATCTTTCAATTTACTTTTTTTCTAAGCAGCTAATTTATAGTTGAACTGTTTTGTTGTTGTCTGAGAACCGATAAAGTTTCTCTCGAAGCATTAGACAGGAAAATGAGGAAAATTCGTTTCTCCATTGTCGATATGTTACGTTTCCGTGAGATCTGGCAATTCAGGTGATGTGTCGATATTCGATTGCGGTGAATTTCTCTTAAGAAGATCATCCTTGAGACCTTTGAAGAGTAGAGTAGAGTTTGAGTTAAGTCGTGAAATTACAGATTTGACCTCGTGTATTTGAGCAGAAAGTGCATTGACCAGCTGTTCTCTATTTCATCAAGACTCTCCATGACTCTCTCTCTCTCTCATACCGGTTATTGTGTTGTTTACGTCTCTTTAGGTTTATTGTTTTTGCGCTTTTTTGGATGTTAGTGTTTTCAAATGCTTGTTCTAATTTGTTATTTTTCACTACCTCCCATTTCCTAACCCCTTGGGATTTATTTCTCTGTATATTCAATTGTCCAACAACACTTTACACTGTTGACACTATTAAGGTTTTGATTGGTCTCATTTTCAATATAATTAAATATTTTTTTAATGTCTCTTCTGCCTGACTCACTTCAACGCACGTGTATTCACGGCAAACGATCAAATTGAACTCGTGGAAGGGCCCACAGTTTATTCTGACTTTTATTTCATACACTCCGACATGCCTTTTTCCTCCTTGTGTCTGTTTTCTTTTATTACATTAAGAATATTTACGTAATTTCTATATTTAATAAGAGATTGTTAAATGCTTTTGAGGAGCAGGAGAGGCAAATACACTCACATAAAACATAATAAGAGAATTTATCGCATTCACACACTTACCTTGCGAGCAATCCGGTCCAGTCCAGTGACGTTCGCACACACACTGACCGGTTTCCAGGTCGTACGTGCCGTGCTCTGAGCAGCCGGGCAGGCACTGGTACACTTGCTGATCGATGGTGCCGCAGTCCTCGCCCTGCCAGCCCGCCTTGCAGTAGCACTGGCCAGCGACGCAAGTGCCATGGCCGGAGCATAGCGGATCCAGGCAGTCATCTGGTGTAGCGGACGAGTTCATAAGCAATGTGGGTGGTTGTTGGACGACAGGGTTAGCGGTACATTAGCAACAAAGCGGCGCGGCATGGCATGGCATGGCGTACACATGAGTGTTAGCAATGAAAAGAGAAAGAAAATGTGGTACAAAAGGAATGGAAAGCGATTAGCATGTTAGACACGTAGAAAAGTGGTCATTAAAGTGTGTTCTGTGCGTGTCTGTATCTGACTGTATGACTCTGTGTGTGTGTGTGGGTGTGTGTGTGTGTATATATGTATGTGTGTGTGAGTGTTCACCGGCGGAGTACTCGTGCAGCAGTTGCGGTCACTGACCATTCTCCTCCGCTTTGCTATTCTTCGCTCTGATTCCCCCTCCCCCATGGGTTTAAGATCTCTACCCGACCAGCAGTCGCAGCGATTTCCGTTTGTTGCAATAATTGGCAATGAACACTGTTGCATTCTTACTCCTTCTTCTTCTACTCTTCACGTGCATCTTTTCTGCTTGAACATTTTCGCTATGCTCCACACTAGAAAGTGCGTGCGTATGTGTCCGTGTGTGTGTGTGTCTGTGTGTGTGTGTGTGTAGTGCACATCTATTTTATTGATTATTTATTTGTATTAGTTTTCACCGTTTGCTGACCACTCAGGTTGCATTGCTTGCAGCGCTTTTTGTTTGAATTTATATTGCATTTTATTGGCGTCTTTTATTCCCATCGAATACTTTTGTTGTTCTTGTTGTTGCTGTTGTTGTTGTTGTTGCTGTTGTTGTTGTTGTGAAATACAACAGACTTCCCATTTCATTTGCAAATAAGCAAATAAATAAATATTGTGAAAACTTTTGCGTTGCAATAATTGCTTTTCAAATTTATTTATTGCTGCAGAAAAATTGCAAAAATGCATTTGTGGAGCACAAAAAAAAAAAAAGAATGCGAAATACAAAAATGGACACAGAGAGAAAAATTGCCTGGAAAAATTGTCTTGTGTTGATTTAATAAAAAAAAATCTACTAAAAGTGAGTACATATTTCTTTATTGAACTTCCAGGGCTTTTTTATTTAAATATACATACAAACATGTACAGTGAGGAGCAAAATATTATTTTGATTTAATTTGTTAGTCGAAAAACATACAAGCAAAGAATTTAAACGAAATAAAGGCGAAATCTCAAACGAGTTCAATCTAAGTTGGGGGTTTTGTGGAGAAATTAAAAAAGTTCCGACTGATATTTTCTGATATTTTTCGAGAAACGATATAAAACTCAAAGTTTGCTATTAAAAATTAAATATTTTCCATCGTTTAAATTTCAATGAAGAATACTCCGCTAATCGGTAGGCTTCGTAAAAATAAAAACAAAACTATATATGCGTAAATGTGTTAAAGTTCGGTTCAGTAAAAGCAAATTCAAAATTTTTCCATAAAATTATGGCTTTCTTTATCAGCTTTCTTATGAACTATCTGACATGTCAAATATGAAGCATTTTGCTAGGCTCCTCTAGAAGCAAAATCATTCGCAGCAGACAGAAAGGCAAGATGGTAACCGCTTGGTTGTGAGATCCAGATCAAGCTTTCGGAGCTTTCAAGTGATTCCAAACAGTTTTTTGTGCAATATTTAACAACTTTCAATGACCATCAGAGCTCTTCCACACTCCTTCTGTTGAGCATCTTTCACGGCAAATTTAGCCGATCGAAATCGACGAAAGCGAAATAGTGCATAACTGCTTGTTACAGTATCAGGATCATAAAAAAAATTTCAACGGTCTTACGTTCATTGAAGAAAAAGTATAGAATATAGTGAATTGTCTCTTTGAAGGTGTCCACCATTGACATGCGCTCAAACACTACTGAAGTGACCGTTGTTTTTTTTAGAACGAAATATTATCTTTCTGGTGCTATCTAGGGTAAGCCAATAGCCCTTACAGATCGCAAGATACAGATGATAAATATATTGCAAAAATAATGGATAAGTTTTTACTAAACCTCATTTTTATAAAATGATGAGAACGTGTTGCTGCATCTAGTTTGCTGGCAGTTCTCTCGCGATAATTATCTGTACACAGGTGCAGTTTCCAGCGTCCACTTCATTCCGTTCTTATGAGCTTGCAACTGCTTGTAGGTGTTGGGCTGCCACTTTAGGGTTACCATAATAAAAATCCTCAAATTTTTCCCTTAGTCAATGCTTATTCTTCTTCTTCTTCTATCTGGGTTAGCACTACACATTATTTGTTATTGTTGCAATTGAAAAGCAGCAGCACGTCATGTTGAACAACTTTGAATTCCGGCATCGCAGTGAATGCGAACTCTTCCCAAGCATGTCCGTCGACGTTCGTCCGTACACCGCCGTTATTCAGTCGTATGTATACGTGTAGGTAGGTGTGCCTGTCCGTTTGTTTGCTGATTGCTTGTTTACTTGTCTGTCTGTTTGCTTTTGGCAACTTGTAAACTCCGGTTAGCAAAGCAACCACCCGCACTCGGGCACACACAAACGCACCACCCCGCGCTCACTTGTTTATTCGGAACAGAACACAGTTTGAGCAGACCAGGTAACTCACGGGGAGTGTGTATGGGTGTGTAGACCATGGATGGTTTGAGTGCTTCGGGTGCAGTAGTTTAACTTACGTTGGTCACAGAATGGGCCCTTCCAACCTCTTTCACAATGGCACTCGCCCTCAATGCATCGTCCGTGGCTGGAACAGTTCGGCACCTCACACTCGCCGACGGGAATGTCGCACTCGGAGCCCTTCCAGCCCTCCTCGCAGTGGCAAATGCCACCCCCGTAATGGCCATGAGCTGAGCAAAGCACTGGGCAGACACCTGGTTGAAAGGAACATGAAAGAAAAACGAGAAAAATTAGAAACAAGAAAAATTATTTTGGTTTATTTCATTCAATTGCAGCTTTTTCAATCTTTTTTTCTGGCACCAAGCGTTTTTTGGGTCTGCTTTCAACAACTTTTTCACACAAACGGTACAAATAGAAAAACTCGAAGAAAAGCTCTAAAATGTAGCACCCAGACACCATGGCTCCGAAGTTTAAATGTAAACACACTAAATATTTGCCAACACTTGGCTTTAAACTTATTCTTCCTCTACTTTAATATTCCAAAATAAAGAGTTATTATGGTTTTTGGACATCCCAAACTTCGGTTGCCAGGCGGGATTTGGTTGTCTTCGAAATACTCACTCTTTGAACAGTCTGTCCCCTGATAACCGTCGATGCAGTCACACTTTCCCAGGTAGCAGCTACCGCGTCCCGAGCAGTCGTTGGGGCACGTCGTGCTCACACCCTCCGCCTCCTCGACCACCAACGTGACCGAGTGTGCCACCAGCTCATCGTTGTAGACGGAAATGAACCACAAGCCCGTGTCCAAGTACTGCAGCAGCGACACATTCACCATCATGGTATCCAAGTCGAGGGCTGGTAGACCACCCATGCCGTCAGCCATGCCGATGCCCCCAGCAGCCACGCCCATAGCCGATCGCTTGTACAGACTGTGCTGAGTTGTCTTCTGTCGCTGTGCATAATGCTTGGCTGTGTCCAATGGCGTCTCTATATCATATTCCCCATCATAGTAGTCATCATTTTCCAATAACTCGTCAGCTAAAGAATCATCCGTGTCTGCATAGAAACCAGGCAAACGGCGCACTCCTACATTCGACTCGTGGGAGACGCGTTGCAACTCGCTGTCGTCGGCCTCGCCACCAGCATCATCGACACCCCCACTGAGCCAATCTAAATCAGTGTGGAAATCCTTGAAGCCCTGGCCGCTCTCGTTGCGCCACTGGGCAGCGCGCTTGTGTCGCAAATGACTATCGAGGCGTCCACCTTTGATGAACTCCACAAAATCGTGTTGCGTTACAGATGGTGCCACGTTGCGGCGCGAATAAACCGCAAAACTAGCGCCCCACGGCAGTGTGAAGTTGAACCGTATGAAGGCCGGGTGCTTGTTGCGAAATTCAAGGTTCCAAAACTGATATGGCGGTATGTTGGCGTGGTAGAATTCGTTAAAGTCTTTTAGCTCCACCACCTGCGGCCACTTCAGCAGTTGCTGCTGTTGCTGTTGGGCAGACTGTTGTTGTTGCGCCGAGTACGATTGGTCCTGTAGATGAGAGGTGGCATCTTGTGGGATACCAGCCTGCGTCTGCTGATGGTTGATGGCGTGCGGTTGCTGCTGTTGCAGTAGTAATTGCTGTTGCTGTTGCAGCTGTAGTGACGGCGCTGAGTTCTGCATGCCACCATAGCCTGTGCTGGTGCCACTGTGGTCCGATGTGCTCGTCTGAATCGACTCTTCTGTGGGGTAGGCAGTCGGAATCTGGCCGCCATTGGCACTGTTGCCGCTCGACTTCATATTGCCGTGCAGGTCGTGTGGTTGCGACTTGACATCTTGGACTAGGATGCAATTTGTGGTGTCCATGTTGGGCTTCATCGAACTGACAGCTGTAAAGAGTGAGAGAAAGAGGGAGAGAGTCAAATGATTACTAAAGATTACTTTATAATATTTTGGTTAATTAAGGACATTCAGGCATCTACGACGCATTCATTCAACATATTCACAGTCTAGGAGTATTTCCTTCGTCATAACAGTAAATTTTCTTCTGCAATGCCAATCAAAAACAGCGGAAGAAGTAAATTTCTTTTTTCTTTAAATATGTATCCTGCGAGCACAGGTGACGCATTGCGGTCCATAAAATTCAGCAAATAACGGTAAATCTGCGAAAAGTCGTATGAAATCGCCTGAGCAGCAAAAACTATCGAAAGTGCAACCGAACAAACACATGAATGTCCAAAAATAGCAAACACACATACGCATAACCAAACTCTTCCAGCAATGTGTCCTCCCAAATGCTTCAATGTGTGTGTGTGTGTGTGTGCAGCTAGTAAATCAGGAGGTGAAGCATGGCAAACGATAATTCAAACCTTAGCCACCGATTCGATTGCCGAATATGCAAAATGTTGGAAAAATATGGTCTGCATGTGCGTAAAGCGTTTGGCCACATGGTGATCTCAAACTCAGCCAATAAAATGCAAACCGAATGCCGCTGATGCCTTTTTTTCTTATTTCCCTTTTCCAACAACAATTCATGTTTTGATGGCCACAAAGTGCTGAAGGGTCTTTGGCTCTGAACGAATTTATGGGCGGGAGAAGGAACGTCTCGCCCGAAACTGAAGTAAACGGAAGTGCTGGCAGCAGCTGAGGACGGCAAGTAGGCAAGACGACGAGAAAGCAGCACCAGCATAGTTTCGAAGAAAATCGATTACTTATGCATAAATTGTTGGCTGGTGGGCTCCAAAGTCGCTGCAGTCATCTTTCTGTGTTCTCCCTTCGAAGGTGGCCAGAAAGCCAAGAAGCAAATTGCACGAGAAGTGCGATGGGTGGCCTACAAATTGGTGCATGAAATTTATTATGAAATGGACACGTTCAACATCGACATCAACATCGGTGGCGGTTTTCGTGTGGAGACACATATGGGCTCGCATCTTATTGCCACCACGTGCTGGCGGACTGAGCTCGTAAATCAAAAAATCGTCCTTTCAGCTCTCGTTCGCCCTTTTAACGAGCTTCCGCTAAGCAACTCAAGACAAAGTTTGGGGAAAATTTTATTTTTTTCACAATTCTTCTCTCTTCTTCATTTTTTCGATTTATTCTTGCCTCGCATAACTGTTATTTCTGTTAGCCCACAGAATGCGCATTCGGCCGGGCATGAGTGCTCGCCATTCAAATTTCGATTTAACGATTTATTGAAAGTGATTGCGTAATTTATGTGCTGAAAATTCGCTTTTGAAAGCTTTAAATTTGAGAAAAGGCTCCGAAGCTCGCAAGTATCCCAGAACGCATGCCATTCAGTAATTTCCCCATGGGTTGAGTTGTAACGGTACAATGGTATTTGTTTTTCTTTCTTTTTTTCGTATTTATCTGTTTTGTGTGCAAATTTACATTAAATAAGGTTACACACATATATATGTATATATAAAGGTACATGTGTATGTGTGTTTGTGTGTGCGTATGCCCTACTGCCACAGTTTCTCTCTCGCTGTTTACTTTAGATTGGCTAAAATAAATATTTCACTTCGACAGCTCAAGGGCTTGTGTAAGCATTGCCGAACAACAACAGCAACAACAACAACAACAACAACAAAAGCAACAACAACAACAACAGCAACAACAACAAGAGCAAAAGCAAGTTTCACAGCTACTTACGTTAGCGGAAGCAGCAGAAAAAGCGAAAGCAAATATTAATTCAGAGTCGAGTTGCTTGCCAATTGTTTTAGAGTTTAGAATTTAACTTCGCCCTCAGACCTGCAGCTTTCCTTATGCGTCTCTCGAAGGATATACAGTGGTGATCAAAAACTGTGCATTTTCGACTTTTCTTAAAATTAATTTTTGTTATTGTTTTTCTTTTCGAAAATCGTCGTTGAAACTCTGTTTAAAGAAGCTCTTAATACATACAGTAGGACAGAGTTAAGTTCAATCTTCCTGCTTGAGTTCTATTTTGTTTTCGATTCAACGGGAAACGGCGCAAGTGAGAAAAACAGAGAGGCATTCCATTTCCACCTGTCATAGTAGAAGTTTTTTAAGATGAAGCCGATTTGCGGAGCATCTACACAGTGCAATAAGTTCAACCCGAACCGGTCCTGGGTTACTCAGTGTAATTAAACTCTACATGCGCTTGCAGACTCCGAAGAGCTTACTGTGCTTTGAGCAGGAATTTGCCCATTGTCAGCACTTGATTCAAGAAAAGAGCGACATTAGGAACCTCTATAGAAGTTCCACGGAAATCCCGTCTGGAGTCAGGAAAGGTCTCCTGTTTATATTAACTCTGGACATGATGTTCGAAATAGCAGACTACAAACCTTCTAGCATAACCTGGAACATTAGTGAAAGTCAAATCGAAGGCTTCCAGTCTGACGATGAAGCTTTGATAGCTACTAGACATTCAAATCTACAACAATCGATCTCGATGCGCAGCTACTTGGGCTCAGGATGAATGCGGACACTACTAAAACCAGGCTGAAGCCGATGCTGACCTTGAATGTTTGGGTAGTGCCAGAATTGAAAAAGGAGATATAAGAACGTGTGGGCGAAAACATTTCGAGTGTAGAAAGCAACACCAATTCGATAAGAGACAAAATTTAAACTATTGATCGCATGCGTTTAATCTGTATTGGTGCACTGAAACGAAATCTTTTACATCACCTCCTCACACGCCCCTTATATCAGAGGAATCTGAAGAGGAAATAAAGGAAGGAGTAAGATCGAGAGGAGGCTTACAGCGCAACCAGAAACTTCTAAACATTTTAGCGAATTACACTCTGTGGCTAAGAATAGAACAGACATTTTGGTAGCAACAGTAGCAAGAGTGCCCCAGGATCGGGAGGGTCATGGGTCTGGTGGTGAACGAGGGCAAGACGAAATATCTCTTGAAATCAAACAAACAAGCGTTGCATTTGCGACTCGGCACCCCCGGCACTGTCGGCAGTAAATACTTGAAGTCGTGGATGATTTCGCTTCTCTTGCGACCAACATTGACACCAAAAACAATGTTAGCCTCGGAATGCAGCGCAGAATTACTCCTGTCAACAGGTGCTACTTTGCACTGGGTAGGCAATTGAAAAGTAAAATCCCCTCTCTCCACAAGTCGCTCATCGCTCCCGCTCTGCTGTAGTAAGGAAGAAGAAGAAGAATAACCAATGTAGCATTTCACTTGTATTCCGGAGCCTTTAGGAAGTAGTAAAGTTTTTATTTTTTTTTTTGCTCCCCACTGTATGTACTCGTATGTAAGTATGTATGTGTGTATGAATGATATTGCTAAGCTCTTTTCTCGCCTTAAGTACGTTTGATTGAAAAATGGTTATTTAATGGCATTTCAGTGGCTTAGCAGCTGCAAAGCTGCCGCAGCACAGCTCTCACTTTCAAATCTCAATCAACACTAGGACCAAGCGAATGCGAGCAGTAACATCCAACACAAGCACGCAACTGCTCACATACATGTGTGTGTGTATAGAGTGAAACCTAAAGATAGCTTTCGCTTTCATTTCTATTATTTTTCTATTTGCTCGACTACTCTGCCGATGGCAGTGCAAGGATAGCCTTCTGCTCTAGATATGTCTCTCAAGTGCCCAGCATCAATTATGCCGGCGAAGCCGATGCCGATGCCGATGCCAATGCTAATGCGAATGCTAATGCCGATGACGCTTGTAATGCCAACTTTCACTAATCAAAGACAAATGGCGACAGAGAAATATCTCCTATTTGGGCCGAGTCAACATTAATGGAGATCTGCTATGCATTAAGCAAATATTGTGCGTCCCTCAGCCAACTCCACCCGTCTCAGTGTCTCAAACAATACTTGAAACACTAATTAGTACACAGTTCGGCCACAAACAAGCTGGGGACTGATACACTTAGGAACTCCAAGCACACATACATACATAGAGAGATAACTATAAGGACGTACACAATCTTGGCATAAAGTGCCTGTGAGAGCTCGGAATGAATACCCAGAAACGTCTCAAGCAATTACGCGAGTGCTCATGTACACACACAAGCAATACACCTATACATACACGTATGTACATAAATACAACCGAACGCAAAAGGATCTACTTATGTGCGTGTTTATATGCTGAACTAATGGGCTCCAGCTATCGATGGCGCACATTAATGAATGATTGAGAATGCTTGCATTTGCCGTTCACCACTCGGTCAATATGTCGCTCGTCCCTTCGACGCCATTCTAGCAACGACAAAGTCTATTTATTCTGGTGTCACTCGATCATTGCATACAACCACAACACAACCACACAACAGACACACATACACGCTTCAATTAAAGGTATCTTCGTGTTTCGAGCCACAAGGAACCATGTGATAGACTGAGGACTTCTTCCTACCCGCAGCGACGGTGTGAGGAGCGAATATAAATAAATGAATAAATAAATAATGACGCCGCCGAAAAAAGGAGTGTCATTACGCACTTATAGCGCCCCAGTTCTATTTGCCTCACGTACATATAAACATCGGCAAAAACTCACATTTACCGAGGTATACATTCACATGTACAAACATACGTAGACACAAGTACATATTTGTTTGGTGTGGGTAGTTTTTGTTGATTGTGTGGCAAATTAAATAAGCAACGCCTGTAAACAAAAGCCCAAAATACAAACCACTAAATATAATCAATTTTAATTGACAGCCAATAAAGACAACAACAACAACAACAACAACAACAACAACAACAACAACATATACGAGTATAGCAAAACGAATACAATGGCAGGCAGGAACAAAGCCAAGTCAACCAGTGGAAGTAGGTAAATTGATATGACTGGGAAATAACATCGTCCAATCAATGTATGTATGTGTATATATTATGAGTACATATGTAAATAATCGACTTTCAGTGCTTTCCAGCTGCGCTGTAATGACACTGTGG